TTGGTGGCTCTGGCCAGCCTGGTCCTTGGATGGTCTCCTCATGCTTCACTTTTCCTGGCTGCAGGACAGAAGCTGCCCTGGGAGAGAGCCAGGGTAAGTGGAGATGAAGGTCAGTCCAGAGTTGGATGCCCTTGTTCGGGGGAGTGGGGAGCCATGCCGAGGCCCATGAGCTTTGCCGCGCTGCCCCGGTGCTGTTCTTACCTGAGGTCGGAATGAATCCCTGATCTGCAATGTGCTTCCTGACCTGGAGCCCGGCCAGGTCTTCCCGGAGCGGGGGCGGCCGAGAGGCTGATTGGTTCCTGTGGCAGGGCAAAGGAGGATGACCCAGCCTCCCTCCTCCCGGCCCCAGGGGTGGCAGAGAGGATGGCGTCCCGTGCAGGGCAGCTTCCCTGTCCTCGTGCTTGGGGGAGGGTCAAGTCAATATGCAAAGCACTTAGACGGGTGTCTGAGGGAGCAAGGCCTTGGTCAACTTTTCATCATTATGACCTTGGACGAGTGATTACCTTCCCTGAGCCTCCATTTCCTCATCTGCCCTCCCCTAGGGAGACTTCGGGGATTAAATGAGCAATAGTGATGGAGTGCTTGACGTGCTGCTTGACCCATGGCTGAACTTGATAGAAATCCTTTTATGGTCAGGTTATGGAGCCCCGTTTGCTGCCGTTGGGGCTCAAAGCTTCCCCATGCCTCCAATTCCGATGGTGTCTCCAGACCCTGCTGGAGCCTTCCATCCCTTGGCCTCTGGCCAACCCCAGCGCCTTTCCCACCTCTGTCCTTCAGAAAGTCAGGCCGCTCCCCATCTGGGCACCGGGTGAAACAAAGTGCAGACTCTTGGAGGTCGGGAGGTGGCTGCCCAGGGCCTGGGGTGTGGCCTTGTCGGCTTTTTCCAGTGCAGAAGGGGCGGCAGTGGCCCAAATGCCGTGAAACGCTTTACTGTCTCACGCTTGCCACATAAGAGACCCGTCTCTGCAGACCCTCCGGCTCACACCGAAGTCCCCCTGGGCATTTCTGGGGTCTCACAGCTGCCCTGGCACTCCCCATTGTTGTTCTTGTCCTGTTTTCCTGCAGCGGGAGGAGCTGCCCCCCACATCCTGACCATGGGAAGGTCCAGTGGGAACTGCCTCCCCTCTTCCCCAGGAGTCCCAAACTGGTCGCCACCTGTCCTTCCTCCCACCCAGGACCCTTCTCTCCAGCTCTGGGTTTTCCACCCAGACACACAGGCCTGTCATCAGTCCATTCCACTCAGAGCTGCCTCTCTCCCTGGCGACTGAGCCTGCCAGTGAGGAGGGATTAATGGGCTGTTGTCAGAGCTGCTGGGGTAGTTCTGGCCTGGGGAGCTGTCCCAGGGCAGAAAGAAGCCTTTTTTCAGTCTGGCAGGCTGGAAAGCACCCTGATGGTGATACTGGGCTCCCCTCTGACTCCCCCTTATCCTTCAGTAATGCCCCTGCCCCCACCAGCCACCTGTCAGCCTGTTGTAAGGGCACCATGCTGTGTGGACCCAATCCGTGTTGCTGACTATCAGAGCCGCCTCAAGACTGTCCACTCTCAGTGCCGAGCTGTGTCACAGTCGCCCAGCATCGGTTCATCCCAGCACCAAAGAGAAGAATACTGACGCTCTCCCCACTCCAGCAGCCCACTCAGGACAAGCTAGGGCGTCCCCGGGGCCTGACCTCCCCTCCTGGGACGAGGCTTGGCTGCCGAGCCTGGTAGGAAGAGCAGGGCCCTGTGGAGTGTGCACAGACGCCCTGTGTGTGAACACTGTGCCTCCTTGTGAGGCTTCCCGACCCACACATCTGCTGCCCTGCACACAACGGGGCCGTGTTCCCGCCCCAGGGGGGACCCTGTTCCTGCAGCCAGCACGGGGAGCAGGCAGCCCCGGGAGGGAGGAGCTGCTGCTCAGACCCTGCCACGGACCCAAGTCCCCACATCTCACTGGGGCCCCGGAGCCCGCCCTCCATGTGCCAGGCACCATTTAGGGGCTGCGGGGTACAGCAGCGACCGGAGTCACCAGTGCCCTTCCCCCACGTCGTTGACCTTGGGGGGTAGGGTGGATGACAGAACAGGGGCTGCCAAGTTGCCAAGTCCATGGAGAAGTTTTAATCAGGGGAGACTGCTCTAGGGTGGTAGCAGGGAGGGGGCCGAGGAGCAGAGACCCGGAAGGGGTGGCGGGGAGGGGGCCGGTGCTTCTCTGCGTTCAGACCAGCGATGAAGTAGAGGCTGTGTTTAGTGACCTGTAGAGAAGGCTGGGGGCGGATGGCCTCACCCAGGCACCCCACCTTCAGCTCAGCCACACACTCTTGGCTCCTGCTGCCAGGGCTGCTTGTGGCCTCCTTTCTGCGCTCTCCTCCCGGCCTCCTCCCTGCTCAGAGGAAAAGGCGCCTTCCCCACCACTCCCCTCCCTTGCTGGGCCCTAGCCAGCCCATTCCTTTAGGGTGTGTCTGTGCGTCTGCTCTCCAGCGGCAAGGCCCCGGAGGAGGAAGGGGGGCCTCCAGGAGGCAGAGCAGTAAATACCGAACCCCCTTGCTGGGGTCCGCTGCAGCACTCAGGCAGAAGATACCGCATGGGCCTCCCCATCCTGTTCTGCACGGGTAGCTTGGGCTCTTCTCTCGCCCGGAATCTTCCGGATCAGTCTGGACCAGGTGGCAGTCATCAGAAGAGCCAGCTCAGGTGTCAGGGCAGCTGGGGGATGGAGTTACATACCCCCAGAGACAGTTCGCTGCTGGTGTGGGAGTGGGCAGCTGCTCTGCTCGCTGCTGGGGGAGGCCTGGCCCCCTCTGCCTGCCCCTCCCAGCTCTGTGCCCTCAGGGGAGGGAGTTGCCTGGGGCGCTGACGGCAGACTCGCTAATGACAGCAGTCTGCCAGGCCTGGCTTAGCCCTTAGGAGCTGCTAGGACAGGACACCTAACCTCTCTGTACCTCGGTTTTCTCATCAGGAGAGTGGGCTTGTGACCACTTGTTAGGGCTGCTGCTGGAGGCGTGTTGCCTGTGCCTGGCACGGGGTAATCACCCAGGAAATAACAGTTGGGGATCATCACTGTCATCACTGCTGTTGGAGATGAGCTCTGCCCGCGAGGGGCGTGGTTATTACAGGGGGCGGGGACAAGTGAGGTCTGGGCTCCACCCCTCTCCCGAGGCTGCTCAGGGAGGCTGTGCTGGAGGGTTGGCAAACATGGCCAAGGGAGCCTCCGGGGTCTGGCTTGCTGAGCCTTCGGGAATAAAGAAGCCAAGAGCCTGTCTGGGGTTCTCTGTGGACCGTGGGATGGGATGGCAGAAGTGGCCCCCAGGGGGCCCACTGTGGGGTCTGCTGCAGACCCCGTACTCCTGTATTCCTGCGATGAAGCTACTGTGGGTTCGAGTGGAGGCAGAGGGGAGGGGGCTCTGTGCGGGGTTCCAAAGCCGCATGTCTGCTCAGAGAGGACTGCTTTCACTCCTGTAGGGTTGCTTTCTTACTGAGAGAGGAAGTCTCCCAGCCTTGCCAAGTAGCCCCAAAGTCGGCTCATAGTAGACCTGTTCGTGAGTGACATTGCCTCCTCACCAGGCTGGGCAGTTACACTGTGTAGGTGCTGGGGGCGGATTGCATGGCGGCTTCCAGGCTAAGAAGAGAGCATCAGGGCTGCTCCTTGGGGCTCCCTCTGCCCTGCCCCCTTCCCACTCCTGTCCCAGTCGGGCCACCATACACATGAGTTCTGTTGACTAGGCCCTGACCTGTAGGCTGGGGTCCTGGGCTGCAGGGTGGGCGCACACGGCACCCCTGACCCTTGCTCAGCCTGTCGCAGGTCCTAGCATGGCCAGCGGGGCAGGCTGGGGTGGGCCCCAGTGATAGGACCCATGGGGGATGGGAGTGCCGGCTGAGCTGGAATTGGATCTGCCTTTGCCAAGAACCTACTCTCCCTTCCACCAGTGGCCTGGGCAGCTCCCCTCCATCCACACAGGCTCATGTCCCCGCCCCATGCCAGGCAGGTGCCCAGAGGCTTATCCGCTTGCCCACGGGTGGAGAAATAATAAAAAAATACAGCCTCGGGTCAGCCCAGGGCTGGCTCTGGTTCCTGGGTGAGTAGGGCCAGAGAGGGCAGTGGGCGCCGGGGACCTTTGGCGAGGGAGCAGCCCCATCCAGGAAGCCATTTAGCTGAGGGGGAGGAGACGGGACCCGGCAGGTGGAGGTGGGTGAGGACCTCTGCTGGGAATGAGTTGGCTGCTTGCTCAGGGCCCAGGTGGGGCGTGTAAGTATGGTAGGTGGATCCCCCCGCTTCCCACCACCCCCAGTTGGGCCTCCGTCGCTGTCTGCTTCAGGGCACGTGCTGAGTCCTCACCCAGGAGGGAGGTGGCTTGTGTGGCAGACGGGCCGCAGGACTTGGGTTTGGCCTGGTTCTCCATAGGGTGGTTATGTGGCCTTGCCCCCCAGTAATGTGGGGGGTGGGAGTCTGACACCTGTCTTCATGGAGTGTCCTAAAGGCTCGGGAGGGACCGGGTGGAGGCTGACTGGATGCTGCCCTGGGGCCGCAAGGGGTGGGGGGCGCTCACCTTCTGGGAGGAGCTAAACGCACGCAGGTGCCCTCCCAGAGTGAGCCTCCTGCGGCTACCAGCTGGCTTCTGTCCTTGCTTCCCAGCCCCCTGGAGGCTCCTAATGGCTTTTTGGCACCAGCTCTTGGCTCCCTTTGAGCTGCACATAACAAGTGAAAGAAAAGTCTTCCGGGGAGCCTGGGTGGCTCAGTCGGTTAAATGTCCACCTTCAGCTCAGGTCATGATCCAGGGGTCCTGGGATCGAGTCTGTGCTCCCTGCTCCGTGGGGAGCCTGCTTCTCCCTCTCCCTCTGCCCCTCCCCCTGCTCATACTCATTCTTTCTCAGTAAATACATAAGTTCACAAAAATAAGTCTTCTGAGCTCTGGTTACCTTAGGTTGAGAGAATGGCCATTTCCCCTGCCTTCCACTGGCCGAAGAATCTTCCCTTCTGGGGAAGTCGTCCTGGTGGGTCTCTGACCTCTGCCTCCTCTGTCCCCTCCCAGGCCATCAGCATCAGCAAAGCCATCAACACCCAGGAGGCCCCCGTGAAGGAGAAGCATGCCCGGCGTATCCTTCCCTGCCTCCAGCGGCTGTTGTCCCTCTGGCCGGGGGAGGGGTGGACAGTGTGAGGCGGACGTGGGTCCACCCTGCATGGTCTCTGGACTTGGTGGGAAGTGAGTTGGGGGCAGGGGGTGCTGCCGGTGGCCGGCCCCCAGCGCTTTGTCTGGTGTGCCCTCGTGGAGACAGAGGCCTGGACCAGACTTGCTCTGCTTCCTGCACATTCTGAATCCCATCTGGGAAACACTATTTATCGTGGGCTGTAGGGCCTTGTTAACTTCCTGAGGCTCGACCTTGCCCATTTTCTTGACCTTGGCAGAAAACCATAGCTTTTGGTGAACTCTGGCAGACGCGCAAAGAGACGGATGTGGGGAGAAGCTGCTGAGTGGCTGTGGTGAGGGGCTAGCCTTCCCCCTGCATCCCCGAGCTGTGCTCGCTGGGCCCCTCCCAGCCTTCCCCACACTTGAGTCTCTGCCTCCTGCACTTGACCTTAACCCTGGTAGGCATCATTCTGGGCACTCACCATGAGAAGGGGGCCTTCACCTTCTGGTCCTACGCCATCGGTCTGCCGCTCCCCAGTAGCTCCATCCTCAGCTGGAAGTTCTGCCACGTCCTCCACAAGGTGCTCCGAGACGGACACCCGAATGTGAGTAGCCACTGTCCGCTGGTCCCGGGGCGGTGGGGCGCGGGGGTCAGGTCTCCTGGGCCCTCCATCTGCTGCTGCCTGAACAGGCCGGCACTCCAGGGAGGCAGAGCGGCATCCCTTTGAAGGCCCGTCCTTCCCCGCTCTCGGAGGGCCAGCTAGCATGGGGTGCGGGGGTGCCTCTGTCGGGACCCCGCCCGTGCAGGACTGGCCGCCTCCTCCCTCGTGCTGCAGGTGCTGCAAGACTGCCAGCGCCATCGGAGCAACATTCGGGAGATCGGCGATCTGTGGGTAGGTGGGGGAGCGCGCGGGGGCCTGAGCACCTTCCCTGGGGCACCGTCCATCCTGCTTGGGGTTCCGTCCCCTGCACATGGGGCCAAGCGAACGGACGCTCCCCGCAGATGGGCATCCCTTCCCTCCAGTCCCTTGAGCTGCAATTACTGTGCCCCTGGGGTGACCGTGTGAGAGGGAAATGTCGTAGGGGGAGCCTCGCCTACCTGCCAGGCCCTCCTGCCGCACACACTCACCAGCCCTGCGGCCCCCCGGAGCTGGGAAACGTGGCGACGCCCAAGTCTGTGTGTCCTACTGGCGGTTACGGCCAGCGCAGGGAGGGGCAGACTCCTTGTCCCCCACCAAGACTGGCTGTGTTAGAGTCTCAGGATTGGGAACTGGGTTCAGAAAAACCCCCAGGAGAGTAACTGAGAGCCCAGTTAACCCCAAGATCCACTCCCAGACCCTCAGGGAATCGGGGGGTCGGGGTTGGGCCTCTGGCCTTCTTTGTCCTCTGGGAGGACTGCTGGGGCCTTGTGGGCTGGGCCAGGGGTGGGGGGCCTCCGAGGACTGGCCAGAGGGAGGCCCGAGCAGGACAGGGTGTGAATGGCCATGTTCCATGATGTCCCTTGAGGTAAAGAAAACAGTGTCTGTGGTGCTGTTTGCAGACACGGGCCCAGCCGGTGTGAACACAGGGGACACGGTGTGGGAGGTGATGGGGAGGCAGCCGGGAGGACATGTGCGTGGCCCCGGCAGAATGGGCCTCCCTGACCGCCACCAGCATTTTAATGAAGTGTCCCAGCTCAGAGCTGGCCTGCTGCCCTGGACAGAGAGCCCTCTTCTCAACGAGAGTTTCTTTGGCAAGAAGGACTAGGAGTAAGATTTCTAAAAAATTGAACAAAGAGCTGGAGACAAAGAGGAGGGTCGGTGGAGGTCCTTCGGCGGGGCGGGCCGTACCCGTGCGGCCATGTCCGTCTGGGCGGTGGGTGAAGGAAGGACACCAAGCCGGCTCCCTTTCCCCTCCCACCTCCGCATTCTCGCTTGCCCCAAAGCGTGTCCAGGTCCTGTAGGATTTGGGGGCACGTTCTGGGGGCAACAGGGCCCTACCCTGGTTTCCTCCCTCCGCAGGGACATTTGCATGACCGCTACGGGCAGCTGGTAAATGTTTACACTAAACTCCTGCTGACCAAGATCTCCTTCCACCTCAAGGTAGTTTCCTCGGGAGTTGTGGGGCTGGAGGGGGGGACCCTGGGCTTTGATCTCTGAGATGTCCCTGGAAGCAGGATCCCCTATGTCCCAATCTTGACCTGAGGAGAAACATGGGGTGCCCAGGGTGCCGTGAGAGTCCGCACACCTTGGGGCATCTCCCGCCGATGCTGGAGGTGTCAGCCTTGTCCTGGGCTCTGGACAGTCTCCTGCCCTGGCTGGACGGCCCCTGCTTCCCTTCCTGGTCTCCCCAGTCACCCACGGCCCCCCTCAGCCAGTGCCCAGGGCAGATGGTGACCTCTCCGGCCTCCTGTCCTCAGAAGCCAGAACCAGCTCTGGGCTGGGCTCTGCCTGGGCCTCACCTGAGTGGGGGTGTCCTCTTTGTAGCACCCCCAGTTTCCCGCGGGCCTGGAGGTGACAGACGAGGTGCTGGAGAAGACAGCTGGGACTGACGTTAACAACATGTGAGTCCCACGGGTGGGTGCTCCGCAGTGGGCAGCTGGGGCAGGGGTCCCAAGCCTCGGAGCTCTGAGGCTGAACCAGAGGCCTGGGGTTTCCTTGGAATCGGGCGTCCTGGGCTGAGGGATGGCTGTCCCTGTAGAGGTGTGTGGGTGAGCTGTGCTCCGTCCTCCCACCTGGGGGGGTGGGTTTCATGGGGCGAGTCCCCAGCCCCTCCGTTCAGGCCCCCACTTTCCCCTTTGTAGCTTCCAGCTCACCGTGGAGATGTTTGACTATATGGACTGCGAGCTACGGCTTTCTGAATCAGGTACGCCAGGCGAGGGGCACGCCCAGCCCGTCCAGGTCCAGTGTGCTTGCTCAGGGCCCACAGCCGGATGAGAACTGAGCCCCGCCAACTAGCCGTGCCCCAGGCTGTCCGCGCCCCTGCCAGGAGTGCGTAACGGGGCCCCCAGGACACAGGGAGAGGCAGTCAGTGCCCCTGCAGGGTGCGAGGCCCCAGGGGTGTGTCTGGGTCACTTTACAGTATGGCTTCCAGTTCCTGAGCCGGGCTACCCCCTTCCCCCGGCCTCTGGCATCTGCAGAACCCACCCAGGAGAGAGCTGCTTTGGGTCATCTTGCTTGTTTCCTGCTATAAAAGGGCCGTGAGTCATGTCGGACTTCCCAGCCCAGGGACCCAGCCACCGCCGGACAGGAAACCTCCGAGGGCTCCCCCTCTCAGGGCTGCAGACGCAGTTGTTCTGGGCGGCAGCGTCAGGATGGCCTGTTGGGTGACTCAGGGCTCTTTGTAGGAGAAGGAGGAGCAAATGCCTTTTTAAGGGAAAATCGGGACTTAGAGATGGGTCTGGGCTCAGAGCTGCACCCAGGGGAGCCCAGGTCCTGCGGGGGAGCATGGCTGCTAGCCCGTGAGCGGCAGAGATGGGCTGTGCCTCTCACAGCCGTCCCCACGAGGGAAGGTAGAGAAAACCCCCAGGCAGGTGCCCCACCCCTGGGGACACTGACGTCTTGAGGAAGCACCAAGGAAAGGGGTACCCCTAGTCCACCGGACGGCGTCTCCCCCAGGAAAGGGTGCCAGGGCGTTCCCCACCATGCCGTTTTAACGGAACCATACCGAATGCCCCTCAGTGGAGAAATGGATGGCTTTGTCCTTATACGAACCCGAAATGGTATTTTATGTGTGTCTCGGTTTTTACGGGAACAAGTATGTGACTTGACACATGAAGGCTTAGGAGGGAGAAGGACTGTCCTTTGCTGCTGCTTCGTCCTCCTTTCCCTCGCGGGCATTCTTGTGTCGCTGTGGAGGTTTGCAAATGGTCCCACTCTAGGCCAGGTGGGCAGAGGACCCCAGAGCTTGGGGCCCAGCATTCTGGAAGAGTCCTGGTGTCTGTGTTGTGTGTGGGCCTCCCTGGCGTGTGGTCTCTCCATTGTTGTTTCTCTCCGGGCTCTGGCAAAGAGACCGAGTGCGGTGGGGGCAGCTTCATGTTTGTCCCTTTCCCTCCCACTTGGCTGATGCGATGAAAGGCTTGATTGTCCGGGACGGGGGAGAATGACCCCGGGTGCAAGTGAGGTTTTGGGGTCACTTGGGGTTTGCGGAACTGACCTCTCTCTCGACTGCTGTTAAGAGGAGGCACTTGGCCGTACAGCCTTCAGCCGCCTCCTTTCCCTGACCTTGAGGCCCATGGGCACACGATCACCTGAGTCCCCCTGTCACCCAAGCACCTTGGCTAGGACACACTATGTCGGCGCTGTCGGGGACACGCCAGCCACGCTGTGTTCTGTTTGCCCAAAGCTGCCGTCGCCCTAGGCAGTGGGGGCTCTGGGGCTCCCTCCGGGGCAGCCACAGCACCAGGGGCTCCCATACTAGCATTGGAGAGCGTTTTGGTGTCCAAGGACCCCGGGCAGAGCCATCCTGCCCAGCCAGGACTGGCATGGCAGGGACCCAGGCTGCCGCCCCCTGGGTGGTTCTGACGATCCCTGGAGACGATGGCGTGCGGCCCGCACTCTGCCGCCGTTCCCACTGTGGCCGTCCCCGCGTCTGCACGGCTCCCCACGCGCACGCTCCTCCCTCCACCTCTGTTGGCAGTGTTCCGGCAGCTCAACACGGCCATTGCTGTGTCCCAGATGTCCTCGGGCCAGTGCCGCCTGGCACCCCTCATCCAGGTCATCCAGGACTGCAGCCACCTCTACCACTACACTGTGAAGCTCATGTTCAAGCTGCATGCCTGTGAGTCCCCCCCGCCCCCCCGCAGCCCACCGGGAGCCTCCCCCGCCCCCTGGGTTCAGCCAGGGGCACACAGGGCTGCGCTCGGGCAGCTTAGGCAGCGGACGTGTATTGCAGCAGAGACGAAAATCGAGACACGTTAGACATATTTACTAATTAAGTATAGCGATAATATATTCATTATCCGTGAACAGAACACAGCTGTGACAGGAAATCGCTGTTTTCCAGCACAAGGATTTAGTGCGGAGAGGGGCGCGCGTCTCCGCAGGGGCGGCCACGAGTGGTGCCGCACGTCCTCTGCGGGCTGGCGTGGCAGGCCCAAGGGGGCCCGTGTCTCCTGCTTCATGTTCATAGGGGCTTGGCCCAGGTGGACCCTCCGAGGTGGTCTCGGTCCCCTCATCCCACTCGGAACCCCCGGCCCAGGCTCGAGTCCCGAAGCGACCCCGCGGCGCACCCGCCGGCCAGCCCGGTCAGGATGCTGATGGTCACGCGCCCCTTGCCTCTGTCAGAGTTCACGTTCCTCTCTGCCGGGTTCTAGAAGGTGGTGGAACAGGGTGGGCACGGGAGCAGGGGGCCGAGGGGAAGTCCCATCAAACATCACTGCCCTCAGGTCTCCCAGCTGACACCCTGCAAGGCCACAGGGACCGGTTCCACGAGCAGTTTCACAGGTACAGCCCGGGCAGGGGGAGGCTCGGGGGCCTCGGGAGCCAGGGCTGCCCAGCCAGGCCTGGCTCCACCGTGACCTCCCTTCCCCTGCCTCGCAGCCTCAGAAACTTCTTCCGCAGAGCCTCGGACATGCTCTACTTCAAGCGGCTCATCCAGATCCCGCGGCTGCCCGAGGTACCCGCGCTCCCCCAGGCTGCAGCCTTGCTCCCTCCCTGGGCGCTCAGGAGGACCCCGGGTACCTGGTGGGGCCCTGTGGGCTCTGGGGACAACCGAGGGGGCTTCCTGCGGGGCCGCGAGCAGCTCCCGCACATCGCCCCCCCACACGCCAGGGACCGCCCAACTTCCTGCGGGCCTCGGCCCTGGCTGAGCACATCAAGCCGGTGGTGGTGATCCCCGAGGAGGCCCCCGAGGACGAGGAGCCAGAGAATCTCATCGAGATCAGCACGGGGCCCCCGGCTGGGGAGCCTGCGGTGAGGCCCCCTCTGCCTAACGCCCTCTGCCCCTGCCCAACCCCTTCCCTGGCCTGGCGGGCCTCGGGGGCTGGCAGTGTGTCACCGCGTTTGTGTGGCAGGTGGTGGCTGACCTCTTTGACCAGACATTTGGACCCCCTAATGGCTCCTTGAAGGACGATCGGTGAGGGCCCTGGCGCTGCCTGTGGTGGGGGCCCGGCGGGGTCAGGGCTGAGCTTGAAGGCCGTCTGTCCCCAGGGACGTGCAGATCGAGAGCCTGAAGAGGGAGGTGGAGATGCTCCGTGGGGAGCTGGAGAAGATCAAGCTGGAGGTGAGGGCGCGGCTGGCGGTGTGCCCCCCCCTTCCCTGCCCCCGCCGGCAGCGCCCCCACGAGGCCGGCCCTCTGCTGTGCAGGCCCAGCGCTACGTCTCGCAGCTGAAGGGCCAGGTGAACGCGCTGGAGGCCGAGCTGGAGGAGCAGCGGAAGCAGAAGCAGAAGGCGCTGGTGGACAACGAGCAGCTCCGCCACGAGCTGGCCCAGCTGCTGGCCGCCCAGCGCGAAGGCGAGCGCAACCAGGGCCTGCGCGAGGAGGCCGAGAGTGCGTGAGCGGCGCAGGGCTGGGGGGGCGGCCGGTGGGGTCGCGGGGGTGGGGGGGGACCACAGCCTCTCGTGTCCCCTGCAGAGAAAGCCAGCACCATCGAGGCGCGCTACCACAAGCTCAAGGAGAAGCACAGCGAGCTCATCGGCACGCACGCCGAGCTGCTCCGGAAGGTCGGTGGGGGCGTGCGCGGGGCGGGTCCCAGGACTGCGAGCGGCCCCCAGCGGTGCCTGAGCAGGCGTCTGTCCCCTGCCCCTGCAGAACGCAGACACGGCCAAGCAGCTGACGGTGACGCAGCAGAGCCAGGAGGAGGTGGCGCGGGTGAAGGAGCAGCTGGCTTTCCAGATGGAGCAAGTGAAACGGGAGTCCGAGATGAAGGTGTGTGCGTGTGCGCAGGGGCCCCCGCCCCCGCCGCCCCCACGCGCCCTCTTGCCCTCCGTGACCCGCTGTCCTGTCCCAGCTGGAGGAGCAGAGTGACCTGCTGGAGAAGCTCAAGGAGGAGCTGGAGGCCAAGGCCAGAGAGCTGGTGCGCGCGCAGGAGGTGCTGACCCGCACGGAGCAGGTACGGCTGCTGGCGGCGGCCGGGGGGGGGGGGGGGGGGCGGGGGGGCGGCAAGACAGCGTTAGGGTCCTCCTTCCCGGGAACGGGGCCCTTGGCAGCCGTGGGGTGCAGCTCCGACCCAGCCCCGGGGACACGCAGGAGGTCTTCGCCCGGGAGAGCCGTCGGTGGGGACGCGGGGCAGGGGGGCCCCCGGGAGCCCCACCCACGTGCCGGCGCTCGCAGAGCGGGTCGGAGCTGAGCTCGAGGCTGGACGCGCTGAGCGCGGAGAAGGCGGCGCTGAGCAGCACCGTGCGGCAGCGGGACGCGGACCTGCAGGCGGCCCAGGGCCTGGTGCGCGAGAAGGAGGCGGCGCTGAGCCGGGAGCAGCAGCGCAGCGCGCAGGAGACGGCTCAGCTGCGGGGACAGCTGGCGGACAAGGTAACGGCGCCCCCGAACTGCGGGGCTGAGGCCCCTCCGTTGGCTCCTGTCCCGCCCCTCCAGCAGGGGAGGGCACCGGTCCGCGGGTCCGCGGGTCCACCTGTCGTTGCAGAGCGCTCTGACCGCTCCACAAGGAAACTCTTGCCCGGAAGCAGCTAGTCCCCACCCGCCTGCGCCAGCCCTGCCGGGGTGCGCGCTGCCCTGCTCTGTCTCCAGAACGACCCATCCCTGACCTCACGCGCGGATGCGCCCCGCAGTGGGACCGGCCCCTCGCGCTGAGCGGTTTGCCAGGTTCCCCCGAGAGTCGTGGCGCAGTAGCATCCACCCCAGGGACAGACCGCAGGCCGTCTGCCCATCCACTGAGTATCTGGCTTGTTTCTGCTCTTTGGCTGTTGGTGACGTCACCAGGCACGAAAGCGGCTGTACCGTTCCCTTCCCGCCGGGAACGTGCGGTTTTCCATTTCCCTGCGTCCCTCGCAGCCCGCGCTGCTCTGGTCTTCACTTTGGTGGCCCTAGCGCTGTCCCTAGCGCTGTCCCTGAGGCCCAGTAACTGAGTATCTTTGGTGTGTTTGTTGCCTTTTGTGTATCTTGGGAGAACGGTTTGTTCAGACCCTTTGCCTCTTTTTTAATTGGGGCGTCTGTCCGTCCACTGCTGGGCTGTCCGTCCGGCTCCCGCAGGAGCCGCCCCAGCGCTGGGCCGAGCGTTGGCTCTCCGCAGGCCTCCCTCCCCAGGGCCGTCCGCCCGCACCCTGCCTGCCTGCGCGGACCCTGCAGCAGGGGCTCTGAGCGCCTCCCCCTCTGGCTCCAGGAAAGTCAGGAGCAGGAGCTGCAGCGGAGGCTCCTGGACCAGCAGTTCGCGGTGCTGCGGGGCACCGCAGCCGAGGCCGAGCGGATCCTGCAGGACGCCGTGGCCAAGCTGGACGACCCTCTGCACCTGCGCTGCACCAGCTCGCCAGGTGGGGCTGCGGGGCTGCCCTTGGGGCCGCCTTCCTTGCCTGGAAGGGTGCTCGGTGACCCTGAGAGGCGAGAGGCAGAGCAGCAGGGCAGTGGGGGCCCCAGGCAGGCTCTGCCCCTCATCGCTTCTCCTCTGCTTGCAGACTACCTGGTGAGCAGGGCCCAGGCCGCCTTGGACGCCGTGAGCGCCCTAGAGAAGGGCCATGCCCAGTACCTGGTCTCCAGGTCAGGTAAGCGCGGTGGTAGAGGACAGAGGAGGGCAGAGGCTGCTGGCCTGGGGTGCCCAGTCTGCTGGCCGCAGCTGCCCCCTGCCACTGGGGAGTTTTCCAGAGCGGTGCCCCTACCACGCCCACCAGGAGCCCGTCCTGCCCGCTCTGCTGGCCTGGGGTCACTCAGCTGTGGCTGCTGTCTAGCTGCTTGACCTTGGTTCCTCCGAGCCTGCCTTGTCACATCCATAAACGGGGGGCCCTGGCGCCTGCTGGGCTTTGGGGCCGAAGACCCAAGCAGCCCACCATGGGGTCCATTCCCGGCTTCGCTCCACGGCGGTGGCATTAGCGTTTTGTCTCTCCTCCCCCAGACGCCTCTGTGCTGGTGGCAGCCCTGACCCAGTTCTCCTACCTGGCTGCGGACACCATTGTCAACGGCAGTGCCACCTCCCACCTGGCCCCTACTGACCCTGCAGACCGTAAGTGGGCCCCCCGGGATGTGGGGGCCTTCCCGGGGGTCCTGGCGTCAGACCCAGCGCAGGGGCTGCTTCCAGGGCTCCCCGGGGCGGGCGCTGACGGACCTCTCTCCACAGGCCTGGTAGACATGTGCAGGGAGTGCGGGGCTCGCGCTCTGGAGCTCCTGGGGCAGCTGCAGGAGCAGCAGACTTTACACCAGGCCCAGCCGAGCCTGGTGGGACACCCCCTGCAGGGCATCCTGCAGCTGGGCCAGGTGAGGGCTGCAGCCATGGCCCTGGGCATGGGCTGGGGTCCCCGATTTCCCTGCACTTCCCTTTAGTTTGGGCTGAACGGGTGCTCGTATGCAGAGCCGGCAGCTGGAGGACACCAGGCACGGACAGCGTCCCCGCCTCCCAGCCCGCTACTGCCCCAGCCTCTCCCGGACTTGTCCCCCGGGCCTGCCCCCTTGACTCCTCCGCGCTCTCTTCCTCAGGAGCTGAAGCCCAAGAGCCTGGATGTGCGTCAGGAGGAGCTTGGGGCCATGGTGGACAAGGAGATGGCGGCCACGTCCACGGCCATCGAAGATGCTGTGTGGAGGATTGAGGTGACGCCTTGGGTGCAGGGGCTCCTCTGGGTCCTGCAGGAGCCTTGGGGGCCGGGCTGGGCTGAACGCAGGCTCTGTCCACCTCCGCACCCCTCGCCTCTCTGCAAGGGGCAGATGGTGTCTGCAGCTCACAGCTGGGAGACTGGGGAGGTCACTCCACTTTTCTGCCTCGATCTGCACCCTGCCCCCCACCCCCACCCTTGTACCCCATGCCCTGTGTCCCTGCGGCCTCCCCGGCTCAGTGGCTTTTTGGCGGGGAGTGGGGATGAGGGGGTTGGCTTGTCCAGCACGGCATCCCCCTTCCTCCCGCACTGCCCTCTTCCCAGCGTGCTCACAGCTCTGTCACTGGTGTAGGACATGATGAACCAGGCCCGCCACGCCAGCTCCGGGGTGAAGCTGGAGGTGAATGAAAGGTGAGCCCTGCTCATGCCCCCCACAGCCCCCCAGGTTCCCAGCTGTGCAGCCTGCCCAGCTCTCCAGAAAGGCCTGGGAACAAGCAGGCACATCCCCCCTGCCATGGGAGCCCCCTGGGACTGAGCACCCATATCGGGGCTCGGTAGTCGTTCACCAGAGGGCCGACTCCCTGGGGCCACACTGAAGATTCTTCTCTCCCCCCCATTTGTTCTCCTCAGGATCCTCAATTCCTGCACAGACCTGATGAAGGTGAGTGGCTGGCCGGGACCCCAGGCTGGACTGTGTGCCTGGGAAAGTCAGCCCAGCCATGAGCTGTGTTCTGGTCTTGGCAGGCCATCCGGCTCTTGGTGACAACATCCACCAGCCTGCAGAAGGAAATTGTGGAGAGCGGCCGGGTGAGTGAGGTCCCCCTCTGGTCTGCCCGTGCATCCCTGGCTGGGCCAGGTGGGGTCCTTCCCTGTCAGTCCAGATTCCTGAAAGGGCCATGACCTCCGAGCCCTCTTCATCCCAGGCCACAACCCTCTTGGCTTCAGGGGATCTCTGGGCTCCTTTGGGCAGGAACTCCTGGACCTGTGCAGTGATGAAACCAACCCCCCCGCCCAGAATGCACACAGTGTGCCCCGGATTCACAACCCCACCCCCCCACCCCCCCCAGATGTCCTCTTGTGGCGGTGAAGGCAGAGCGGCGGTGGGGATCCGTGGCCACCTGTGACATCGCTGACTGGTCCCTCTGCCCTGCCTTCCTGTTGCCACTAGGGGGCAGCCACGCAGCAGGAGTTTTATGCCAAGAACTCTAGGTGGACAGAAGGCCTCATCTCCGCCTCCAAGGCCGTGGGCTGGGGAGCCACGCAGCTGGTGTATGTCGCCCCAGGTGGGGGGCAGCAGGGCGTGTGGTGCTCAGGGTCTGGGGAGGGAGTGTGGCGGCGGCCCGGTGGCTGCAGGGTCGGAGACCCAGGCCTGCCCGGCTCTGTCCACAGGGAGTCGGCGGACAGGGTGGTGCTCCACACGGGCAAGTACGAAGAGCTCATCGTCTGCTCCCACGAGATCGCGGCCAGCACGGCCCAGCTCGTGGCAGCTTCCAAGGTGAGGCTCAGTGCGTGGTGGCCTCTCGCCTCTGGTCTGGGCTGTGGCCAACGTGTCCCCGTGTGCCAGAAAGCCTCTGTGCGGGGGCCTGAGCATGACCTGCCCCCCCCACTCCCCCAGGTGAAGGCAGACAAGCACAGCCCCCACCTGAGCCGCCTCCAGGAGTGCTCCCGCGCGGTCAACGAGACGGCCGCCAACGTGGTGGCCTCCAGCAAGTCTGGCCAGGAGCAGATCGAAGAGAGAGGTGCGTGTGGGCCCTGGTAGTAGCTGGGGTGGGGGCAGGCGCACAGACACTCACCCCTTACCCCCGCCCCGCTCTGACCACAGACACCATGGACTTCTCTGGCCTGTCCCTCATCAAGCTTAAGAAGCAGGAAATGGAGTCCCAGGTGAGTGTCTGCTCCTATTCGGGGGCTGAGCTCTGGGCAGGCGGGTGGCGCAGGCCGTGAGGCCATCCTGAGCGGGCTTGCGGGGCTGCAGGTCCGCGTCCTGGAGCTGGAGAAGACACTGGAGGCCGAGCGTGTGCGGCTGGGGGAGCTGCGGAAGCAGCACTACGTGCTGGCTGGTGCCGTGGGGACGCCCAGCGACGAGGATCCCGGCCGACCCAGTGCTGCCCCCCGCAGCGGGGCCTCCAAGAAGCCACCCCTGGCCCAGAAGCCCAGCGTGGCCCCCCGGCAGGACCACCAGGTGCTGGCGTCAGCGCCCGGGAAGGGTCCTGGGCTGTGGTCTCTGTCTCTGCTCCCCAGTCTGCAGGGCACAGGGCCTTGGGGAAGTTGGGAACCTCTGACTGGGAGGAGCCAGTAACATGGGGAGGATGGTGGCAAGGGGAAGAGGGAGGCTGGGAGGCTGGTTCAAGGGACAGACGCAGGGGGCAAAGGGGAGGCAGGGTGTGTGGGGGCCTGGCCACGTCCACTGAGCCCCTCACCTCTGACTCCCGCAGCTCGACAAAAAGGACGGCGTCTACCCGGCTCAGCTCGTAAACTACTAGGCTCCCGAAGGATCCCGGTGGGGAGGCTAGCGGGCAGGCCTGGGCCTTGTGTGGCCGCCCCGAATTGGCTCAGGAGCCTCCAAGGGGTGCAGCCCCCTGCCCCATGGCCAAGATCAGTGTCCCCGAGGCCCCCAGCCCCGGCTGAACCCACAGGATCAGAGATCGCGGCAGTTCTCCGGGACGTGAGTCTTCCTGCAGCGGGCACTCGTGGGACCAGCCGGAACCGAGCAGGCCTGAGCCACGGGCCTTCAGGAAATACATGGAATATTTGTAATTTTTGGAGTTAGAGCTTTCCTTCATGAGTTTGGATTCACCCTGGGGAGCAGGGCCCCTGGAGAGGGTGTCTGGGCAGGACCTCCACTGCCTTTTGAACTCCAGGTCTGAGGTTACTAATGAATAACAAATCCCTATTGGCAAGATGTCACCTATCTGTAGCCTTCCTGGGGCACAGAGTCCTTGCAGACGGGCCCAGGGTGGTTTTGGACAAAGCAGCCCTGGTTCGGGGTGCCTCCCTGTGAGGCATCAGGGACGGAGCACAGAGCTTGGCCCTTATCGGGGGTGGCAGGCCGGGCAGTGGAGCCCGGCACAGGTGCTGTGCTGCTGTCACTCCCGGAATCTCTTCTCCCACCTGTGGTGACCATCCTGTTCCTGGTTTTCATGCGCCTTCTTCTGCCCTAGAGGCCCTGTTCTGCGGGTTGCCCATCGCCTACCCCCTCCTCACCTCTACCCTCCTCTCAGTCTAGCCCAACCTCCTGAAGGCCTTCCCAGCTCAGACACCAAAAGTCTGGGAACTAGGACGCCTGCGGGCCATTCTCTAAGCCAGAGGCACCTTGTGCCCCTAGAAAGCCTCCCCACCCTCCACCCCCTGCTCCCAGCTGTCTAGTGGCAGTCCCACTTGGAGGATTTGTAAGAACGTGTGTTCTTTGAGCCCCCACCCTGACTCCAGGGAGGCGTTGAGAGAAAAGGACCAGCACCGTGGGCCCCAGAAGCTTCCCTGTCCCCTCTGCCTCCCGGCGGTCCCATCCCAGCCATGTTCTGGAGGGGGGCACAAGGTCCAGCTTTTCTGCGTGCCTTTAGTGTTTCCTTGTTGGAAGAGTCAGATGGGCAATAAAACGCACGTGGACCGTTGCCACCGCCCTCCGGTGAGGGGCCGCCGCGCCTGGGCTGTTCATTTCTCTGGAGCCAGAATGTGTGACACGGGTTGGGAGACGACTTAACTTCTGCAGGGGACAGAGCGCTTGGAACCACGGAAGAGCTGCTCTGGTTCTGCCAAGAAGTGCCCTGGCCTGCGTCCTGGGAGGTTTGGGACTTGAGGTCCTGGGACGGACGCCGGTGTGGTGAGTCGTCGGCTGGGGGCTTCCCGCCCCCCACCCCGGCCCGCTCAGAAACCAGGCTGTTTTGTGAAGGGGAGGAGTGACCACGGAGTCCCAGCAGTTAAGAATGTCCCCCGGCTGGGGGCAGTGGCGGTGACCCTGACTCCTCACTGGTCAGGGCTTGACCGGCACCACCACACCGAGCCTTCCCTCCGAGAACCTACCCGGCCTCCGGGCTCCCAAGAGCACAGCCGGCTGTGCGGCCCCGCTTTCCCCGGGGATGCGGACGGCTCCCGGCCAGGCAGGCTGGCCTCGGCGCGCTGCCCGCAGAGCGTGCGCCCCTTGCCCCGCAGGCCCCAGCACTTGTGGAAGCGCCATCGTGCCGGTCAGGGAGACAAGAGCCCCACTCCCTGGGCCTGGCTTTCCCACGGGGTGAAGTGGGGCCCCGCCTCGCTCCAGCCTGGCTGGGAGGTCGGGGTGGGGCTGTCGAAGTGCTCTGAAAACTCCCCGAACAGAAGGACGGGCCGGAGCCTGGTTCTCATTCGTAAGGAAAAAGCGCTTCAGAACGACGTCAACGCAAGGGGCTCGGCTCCGCCGCACACAAACCGGTGCAGACAGCCCCGCGTGGACCACTCGATCCGGAGAACTAGCCCGACTCGACGCAAACCTGCCACCGGAAGCCGTGGGGCCGGACCGCTGCACCCCCCACACCGTGCCCCCCGACCTCCTCCCAAGCACAGGGGCCCAAGTGGGGAGGCGAGGATCAAACAAAGCTGGGCTGGTGAGAAGCCCCTGAGCACACAGCCCCGTCTACAAGTGCCCCCGCAGAAGGCTACAAACCGAGCTCGAAGCTTCCTAAGCAGCCACCAGGGAAAGAGCAACTGTCAGACACAAATTCTCAAAAGAGCAAACGGATTCCTCAGGCAGAGCCTTCCTCTTCCTCCCAGGACCACCCCAGCAGTGTCCCTCGCATGTCCTCCTGGAGCGCAGAGGGGCAGGGGCTGGCAGCCCCCCTGGAGGCGGTGGCAGCAGGGGAGCTGAGCCTGGCGCTCCTGTTCCGGGGGGCGCAGTGAGGAAAGTCCCTCCCAGGGCACCACAGCCCCCAGGGGAGGCGGGGGGGGTGGCACTGAGGGGCTGGTGGGGTGCAGCCCTGGAGGCAGGGTCCCTCTCCCAGCCTCGAGAGGGAAGCAGCACCTACCTCCACCTGGGACCATTGTGGGGGAGGGGCTCTGGGCTCCAGAACAAAAGGTCCCCCATTCAATTCGGTCATTTGAAACAAGCAGTCAAGGGCCTGAGTGTCCCTGAGCAGTGCCGTCTGTGCTGGTGATGCTGGTGATCCGCAGGACAGGGCCTGAGAGACTGAACCCAGAGGCCCGGGGCAGAGTGGGGACCCTGTGGACCCGCTCTCCCCACTTTCTGCCCTTTCCTCCTGGCTGGGGGGATTGGGCAGCAGCACAAAACGCTCTACGAGTGCTAGGGCCCCCAGTCCAGGCAGACACGCAAGCCACTGAGGCGGCTTCCCGACTTCGACACAAAGTCCACCTCCCTCGCGGAACTGATCACGGAGCGTCTAGAACCAAATACGCCACGAACATCCCCAAGTAACGAAATGACAGGACCGTTGTTGATTGTTTATTACGAAGGGTCCTCCAGCTTTACAGCCCCGGCCCTGGCAGTGCCGTCCCCACATCCACACCGAGTTCACTTGGCAGGGCAGTAAACCGGCCCCTGGGGCATTACAGTGACAGTACAGGGGTGTCCCTGCCCAGGGGAACTGGAGACAAAGCGTGGTGGCCTCACCCCTGGCCTGCTGGGACAGACCTGTGGAGCTCTGCCGCCGTTCCACTACCTGGGCCGGTGAGACACCCCCCCCACCCCAAAGGGCCGGGAAGAGCGTGGGGTGCGGCAGAGCAGGAGTTTGTTGGCACCATCCGATGATCTGGGCGCAGCAGAGATGCTGCCGGGGTCCCTCTGTCCCCCTCCTGCGCGGAGGCCCCCGCCGAGGAAGAGATTGGCTACGAGGATCCTGGTCCACCGTGGGACAGGCTGCTTCCGCTGGCAGTGCCCCGACCAAGCCTCTCAGGGAGCAAAGCCGCTCGTGGGAGCTGCCCCTCCACCTGCCCAGCCTGCAGGGGGCCTGCAGGGGAGCCGGGGCCGGCCCCTCACTGGCACCAGGGGAAACTAAGGCACAGCACAGGCACCCACAGGTGTGACCATACACTGCTTGTAAAAAAGGAAATGGCATTCACTTCTGTACTTCACTCTGCTCAAGACAGTATGTGCGTTTTTATAAAGTTTCCCTGAATGGTCTTGTGTCCAAAAAGTTTTCTTTGCCAATATAAAACAGGAAAATTACATAGTAAAAATACCAGGGGAGTAATTCTTTGTAGAAACCGTCAGGGGTGGCCGCGGCGGGGGAGAGAGGGGGAGCAGGGCTCATCGCCGTGTAAGGCCCAGCTCAGACCCATCTCCTCCGGCCTGGCTGCCACTCGCCCTGGCTGTGGGCCCAGCGCCGATGCCGCACGGGGCTTCAAAGCATCCGGGTTTGGGGGAGGGGGGACTGGCAGGGGTCTGCCCCCCAGATTCATTAAGCACCTTCCAGGCGGCCCACCTGGCCCACCCTGACCGGGGACTGTGGCGTGTGGTGGGCGAGCCCGTGTGGCCCAGTCTTTTGCAAACGAAGCAGAAACGATGGAACATGCGCATTAAATGAACCCACGAGGGGAGGACCACGGTTGCAGGTGGGCAGGGAGGGTGCTCTTCCCCCAGACGGAGAAGTCCGTCAACGTTACAAGACTTAGAAATCACACCGAAAACAAACCCACGCGACCGTGGCGGAGGCCTTGCACACACAACCCCCGGCTACCAAACCGGGTCCTATGGCTACTTACCGCTGACCTACTAGTTCTAAAATCAAATGGGTGTGCTGGCCCAGGGCACCGGCACCCTGGTCCTCACAGCCTGTGCGTGCAGAGGCCCGGCCGGCAGGTGCGGCCTCCCAGGCAGGACGGGGGAAACTCACTGGAGGATGAAGCCGGGCTGGTGTGGCGGCAGCCGCGGCGGGGGTCTCTGGGGGAGAGCGGGCGGGTATGGAGACACGAACTGCGCGGAGAATCCTTGCTGGGGGGCCAGGCCCACGCGGGGGGGCAGGGGCGGGCACTGGGACCCCGGGTACGGGAGCGCCTGTCCTGAGCCCATGGCGGTGGTAAATGGCGTGGCCAAGCGTCCTGCAGGCACCGGAGGCGGAGGCGGGGGGATGCGCCGAGGTAGCATGGAGGGGGGCCCGCTGGCCTCTGAGGTAGGGTAGGGCAGGGGGGCGGCGGGCACCGGCTCGGGCACCCTGGGCAGCAGCGGGGCCGGCACAGAGGCCTGCGGAAGTCTCTGCCCCTTCAGCACCAGCTCCTGGAGCTTCTCGATTTTCACTCTTCGCGTGTGGGCCAGTTTCCGCTGGCTCTGATAGACATCGATGAAGGAGTCCAAAGGAAGCTCTCCGTCCAGAAACTTCTCCGCCATGTTCTGAAAGCGGCAGGAGAACGGATTACAGGGACACGTCAGCCCCCAGGGAAGGAAGCTCCCTTCACCGCCCAGGGAGAGGCAGCACCCAGCCTCCTTCCATCCCGTCCCCCACTTATCCCACCCGCCACACGCTCCCCACCGCAGACCGGCCGACCTCAGCGGAGGCCCCCAGCCCCCCCGCAGAGAGAAAGGGAAAGAGGCAGCTGGTCCAGGCCGCCCGCCGCGCCCCATGAGCTGCCCACGGCAGCAGGCCCAAGGGGGAGCCAGCCCCAGAGGAAGCGGGCCCAGCCCCGAGCTGCCGGGCTTCGAGGCGCAGAGGAAACCACCCTAGCCAGTTCCCACGCTCTCACCGAGCCAGCCGCAGCCGGAGCCGTTTCCTTCCTCCCGCCGGCTGCGCCCTCACAGACATGCCCCCTATGGGCTCAGGGGGCCAAAGCAGGCTCGTGCCCACCAGGGCCCCCACCCAAGCCCAGCGGTGAACTCGACCATGTGGCCGAACCTTGCTATGATTGTGCAACATCTGACCCCGACTCAGGCCGTATCTCTTAGTGCGGCTCCAACCTTGAGCGCTCCACGCAGCACAGACTCCGCCCCGCCCGCGGATCGGAGCCCACGGTCCTTGGCAGCCCTGGCCAGCGCGGACTCGCAGGACGGTGCACACCCGCCGCTGGAGCACCGGACCCACTACCGCCCCCTGGCTGCGGAGCAACGGGCCGCCCACCGGCTCCCAAAGTGGCCCAGACCCTGGCAACTGTGCTCTGGGGCCCCGCGCCCACGCTGGCTGGCTTTACCTCGGTGTCTTCCTCAATCTTGGCCCCTTCGGCCTGCAGGAGCGCCAGCAGCGTCTCCAGGGAAGCGCTGCTAGACTGCTGGTCTGGAAGAAGCAAGAGGCATGATGAGAGGAGGGGGCGGCCGGGCCGCAGCCCCTCAAGCCACTCTAGAACGCCCCCAGACTCCGTGCCACCCTCCTCTCAAAGAGGGGCGCGTTTTAACTGGGAAGGTAGCAGCCGGCTTTCCAGGAAGCAAGGCCTTAAAATCCAGGAGGAAGGAGCACACAGGACAAAGCAGGACAGACTTGGGGCTGCGCCACGCATCCCACACCCCATGTCACCGTCACCGGCCCTACAGAGGCTTGTCACCCAACATGTGAGGTGACCGGAACCGCCCCACACAGATCTCGGCTGTATTCATTTCTGAGTGGTAACGTACATCGAGCAGGAGGAATTTAAGCCCAGGACCTCAGTTTTCTCAAGTGCATAAACCCCAAGCACCACCACCCAGGTCAGGATACAGAACACGCACAAAGGCTCCCCAGGCCCACTCCCAGAGACTGGCCCCGAGGCAGCCCCGATGCCCGGTCCTGCCTGGCTGGGAGGCTCACGGGAACGCATCCCCCAGGGCGAGCTCTGTGCTGGCTCCTTCCCCCCAACACCGTGGACCTGACCTCCCCTCGTCTCCTTCAGTGTCCACTGTGTGGAGACCAGAACTCACGGACCCAGCCTTCTGCGCACGGACATGTAGGCAGTTTCCACACTCGGCTGTTACCAACAAAGCTACCACGAGCACCCTCGGGCCCGTCCGTCTCTGCCGGCGGCACACCCGGGGCGGACTGGCTGGATCAGAGTGAGCACAGGGTGCCTTCAGGTAGGTCCTGCCAAACAACTCTTCCCAAGGTGCTTTCCACCAATCTACGTCACAACGTACGTCCTCCAGCCAGGGAAGAACCCCTCTGTCGGGCCTGCCTCCGAGCTTGCACTGGGGTGGCACGGCACTGAGGGCGACCCCGTACCAGGCCTCCCGACCGCCTCACTGAAGGGCGGGCTTTGGCCCCTCCTTCCCCGCAGCGCCCTGGAAAGCCACGCAGAGCACGCGCGACCCCATACTCTGTTCCTACAGCTCCGTAATGACCGTAAATCTAAGTGTGACGTTGCCCTGTGTGAGTGTTAGTGGGCCTGGCCCACAGGAGAGACATCGCTCTCCTGATGACTCAGAACAGGACTTCTCTGGGCGGTTTGGACACGGTGAAATTTGGTCTGAAAAGTGGCTGAGTCTCTTCTCTCAACAGCCAGAACGGGTCTGTAAGTTAACTTTCCCTGTGGCCTGACCCAGGGTCTCGACCTGGAACCTTCCCACGGGAACGCTGCTCTCCCTGCGGCCCAACAGCTTGCAAACGTGCCCCTCCCTCCACTCGTTATTCTTGCAAGAATCACCCTGGAAAAGTTACCTAATTTGGTCTTCTTTATCTGATAGGCTTCAAAGAGAACCTGCAGTTCCTGGTATTTTTGGGTCAAACGCGCTTTGAGGGCGTCGAGCTGGGGCTGGTACAGGAGGTTTCCTTCTGCCAGGCTCCGGTTGCTGGCGAGCGTCATTTCTTTGTTGAGCTGAACATTCTGCGTCTGCAAGGAACACGGCACGATGAGAACCAACGCGTGTCCCCTCACAGACCCGTCCCCTGGGGCTCCCGACACCCCCCCCACACAGCTGCCACATCTGCTTCCCTCGGCCTGCTCCCCGGCCGAGGCCCTGAGACCGCATGCGGGCCACTCCCGGCCCAGACTCCAGCCCCTCTGGGTTTGCAGTGTGGCCGCAGCTCCCCGTTCTCAAGAGCAAAGCCACTTCCGTTCCAACAACTCGCAGACGGCGGCCACGTGACTTGCCCAGGCTCTCTGCTCCGCTAGCCGCGCGGGCGCTGGGACGCCCTCCTCCTCCCTGTGCTAGCAGGACTCAACAGCTGTGCATATCCAGGGCGAGATCGGTTCCAAACCCGTTTCTGCGGCTCCACAGGAAGTTAGGGAACCACGTTTAACAGCAGAGAACCAGCTGGCATGATGTCAGTCCAGGCTCAGTGATCAGGCTGAGATCAAACACGAAAGCCGGACACCCCCGGGGATGAATTCCGCTTACAGTGACCCTGCTCGCTCTCCCACGCCCACCTCTGGCTCCTCCTCAACTCGGAGGACAGCGGGAGTCCTCCCGGCTCCAGATCCAAGGCTGGGGCAGATCTGCCTGTCCGGCTTGACTTGGGAGGAAGCCGTGGCGCCCCAGACCACAAGGGTGAGGGAAGTGGACGGGTCTGAGACAAGGTGAAGCATTCCTAATAAAACTCAGCAAAGCTATGCTTAAAGAAAACCCCAAACACATGGGCCGCCACCCGTGCTGGATGGCGACTGCCCTCGGCAGCCGCAATGCGCGGACCTGAGATCTCCACGCGGCACCATCCTGCCCCGCTGTGCTCGTAGCTCCCCAGCAGCCCGAAGCCGTTACCTCGTTTCCCCCTTGATATCTGCTGCCACCGCACCCAGGCTATTTTCGCCGACTTCCTTCCTCCTGAGAGTCTGGGTGCAGATTTCCCACTGCGCGGCCTCCCGCTCCCGCCAAGCCCACCCAGGGTGCCAGCCCTGCCCCCGAAGCGGTCTGCACCCGCGCACCCATTGCACGCGCGCCCTGGCCCCCGGTCCCCACAGCAGACACGGGGTACCTTCCACACCCAGGAGCTGGGCAAGGGCCCTAAAAATTCGGCTTGCCTTAAAACGGGATTTAAATTAAGGATTTAAATTAAGACAAACTTGAGCCTCTAGCTCAACGCTACAATGTGAGTGCAGCAGAAACACCCTCCTCTCCTGCTGCTTCTAGCCGGCAGGGAGAGTCTGGGGCCCTCGTGTAGCACAGAGTTCTGGGAGCTGCTGCACGAGAGGCTTTCCTTCTACTGTTAAGCCAGCTGAGAGAACAAACAAACATAAACCTTGTCTAGTCCACTCAAGACCACAGCTCAGCAACCGCTTTTAAAACTAAACATGCAGGGGTGCGTGGGTGGCTCAGTGGGTTAAAGCGTCTGCCTTCGGCTCAGGTCATGATCTCAGGGTCCTGGGATCGAGCCCCGCATCGGGCTCTCTGCTCAGCGGGGAGCCTGCATCCCCCCACCCCGCGCCTGTCAAATAAATAAAATCTTAAAAAAAAAAAAACACAACTAAACATGTAACTATGATGCGACCCAGAAACTGTACCCCTGGGAATTCACCCCTGGGGAAATGAAAACTTATATTTACACAAAACGCTGTGCACAAATGTTCAACACAGCTTCATTTGTGACAGCCCAAACCCCAAAGCCAGGCAGCCGTCATCCGCCAGGGGACGGACGGCAGAACCAAGCGCACCCCATCCACGCCACGGAACACCTCTCAGTCCTAAAGAAGGACGCCTGACACACATGGCAACTTGCAGGAGACTCCAGGGAACCAGGCTGAGGGCAGAGAGCCAGCGCGGGAGTCACACGCTCGAGGAGCCGGTGTACACCACACTCCTGAAGGGGCAGTGGCAGAAATGGAGACAGCTGAGTGGTCGGGCAAGAACCTCAGGAAGAAGGCTCACGGGCCCGGGATCTGCTCTCCCGGATCCGGACAGGGTCAATGCCACGGCTGTGAGGCTGTGACACACGGGATAGCTTTAGTTTCTTACAGTCGCTTGTGAATCTACACCTACCTCAAAATTTAAATTATAAATCAAGAAGCGGCTGAGTTTCTCTAGAGCCCACCCCCTGGCACGCCAGTCTCATCTGACAGCTGAGAAGGGGCAAGTTTTCAAGGCCACAGTCAGGCCCCAGCTGCCGGCACTCCAGCATTCGGACTCGACCTTCAGCCTTTGTTCAATAAACGTTGGCTGGGCAACGACTACTTGCCAAGCCGAAGGAGGCACAGAGCACTGAGAGGAAGACGACGCTCCTACAGGCCTACGGACTCCGTCGTCACAACTGGAATGGACCTCAGCGGACCTCAGCCTGGTTAAATGGAACGGACCTTAGCACGCCCTCACTGCTGGGGTGCAGGGGACCTGGTCCCCACCTGCCCACCAGCCCTTCCCTCTACCGCCTCCGGAGCTCAGGTCTGCTCGTCCCCCAGGCTCCTTCTCGCGGGGCCCCACACCCATGTCGTCGCTGCCACTGGCGACAATCAGCAAACAGGACATTTGTGTCCCTGCTCAAGTTCTCCCCTCACCGAATGCTAACACAGGCAGGGTCTCGGTGTGCCAAGCACCTCCCGGGGGTCACACAGTAGGGCTCTGCTGACTGAGTCAGAGATCCTTCCCTAACCCCAAAGCCAGTCACTCGAGGCCAGGTCCGGCAAATAAGATGGATCATATACCGTGGAAGGGGGGACAAAGCTGTGTAGGACAAGCACCCAATGCCCCAAACCCTTGATGCAGACAGGCCCCCCTGATCAAGGCCTTGAGACCGAGGCTGGGGGGCGGGGGAGGTTCTCACACTGGATCTGAGGCTAATTCTGGAAGCAGGGTTTCCATCTTCAGCAGAGGCATGGCTGTGAGCAAAGATCTCTGTAGGGACCACGGAAAGGAGCTGGCATCCCAAAGCGCCTGCCTCCGACATGCGGTTAAAGGACTGCTCTTGTGCAGGGCTCCCCTGCGGCGGCCGGACCTGAGAAGCACCGGAGGGGAGGGGTGCTGGCTGGCTCAGACCAACCCCGAGTCGGCCGAATCCTCCAGAAGGCCCAGGCCTGGGTCCAGCTACGCATGCTGCTCTGGTCTCCGTGTATAACACAGCTACAAAGAAATCTTATTCTCGTAGGGTCTCGAACAGGTCAAAAGCACATCTCCCGTGTGTTAGGAAGTCCTCGAAGAGAGCAGCCCAAAGCTGCGCGGCTAGGATCGAAGGGCGTTCTGCTTGCACAGGACACATGAAGGCTGGTGTAAGCCGCCAGCCAGCAAGGGCCCAATCAAAGGACAAGTGACACCCATCACAGGCCATCATTTGTTTATAGCCTTTGGGTGTTCAGATATTTTTACGTCAGTAAATACCGGTAAGTTCTGAGTGGCTACCCAGAGCACACCCATGGCTCTCTCCAGGGGACAAGGCCAGGACAGCTTAGAAGCCCCCACTAAAGCCAGCCCAGCCCCGAGAGCCTCAGAACACGCCCGGGACGCAACATTCACGCAGAAACAGACTCTGCTCCGTAACGCTCCTTTCCGCCGCTCAGATTAGAAATGGGGAGGAAACAGCCAGTCTTGTTCCATCATTTGCAAAGCAAAGGTGACCTGGCTGGAACGGCCTCGGCCCTCTCCGTGGGGACGGCACAAGCACACTCAGCAAGGCCAAGCGACAGCCACCGTGGGCGACACCCGGCCCAGCCCCACACCTTCCATAAGACCGAGCCCAGCCTGGGCGCCTGACTGGATCCGGGCCGTGACCCTGAGAACGCCTGTGGGGTCACCACGGTGCAGGAGGCCGGTCACAGGGCCACCAGACCCCGGGCACAGAAAACCGTGCTGCTGACCTCTCCACGGTTCTCATGAGCCTTTTTCTCAACCACCGAGAAACCCTTTCAGGAAGCAGCCCCGCTGTGGTAAGGGCACGTTTTTAATCACGGACTCCACTTCAGTTTCCTTTTCTGCTCCTAATCCCAGAAAAACGAGATGCAGGATTGTAGCCTGCGGAGCAGCACCCCAGTTCTCCCCTCCCTTCTGCCTCTCCCCCTCCACGAGCGGTCTGGACCGATGTTCACACCAAGTTAACAACAGCAACCTCTCAACGATTTTCTTTTTTAAACTTTCCTATTTCTCCTTGTACATGGTGCCTAATTCACTACAAGCATGCGTGAGTTTACAGGAAGAAAGCTGTTTTTTAAAACAACCTGTTAGTACTAGAACCAGAAGAGCAGAGGCTCTAGAAAAATAAACTGTTTCTAATTAAAAAAAAAAAAAAAAAGGGTGACACAGGTGAAGGGGATTAAGAGATACAGACTCGAGTTCCACATTCGTGTTGGAGGCGGAGAGTACAGCAGAGGGAACACAGTGATACTGTAACAACGCGGGAAGGGGACAGAGGGGGACCGCGCTTATCCTGGCGGCTGAGTCATGTGCACACGCGTCCGAGCACGACGTGCTCCGCCTGAAACGGACGACGTTACAGGGCAGCGGTGCTTCAGCAACAGACAAAAAGAAGGACCATCGACCACACAACACACACACACACACACACACACACACAACCAAATTTCAGAAAAAGAAAACCGGGCGCCTGGTGGCTCAGTCGTTAGGTGTCTGCCTTCGGCTCAGGTCGTGATCCCAGGGTCCTGGGATCGAGCCCCACATCGGGCTCCCTGCTCGGTGGGAAGCCTGCTTCTCCCTCTCCCACTCCCCTTGCTTGTGTTCCCTCTCTCGCTGGGTCTCTCTGTCAAATACATAAATAAAATCTTTAAGAAAAAAAAGAAAGAGAAAGAAAACGAGTTATTTCAGACATGCTCGTCCAGGCAGAAACGCGAAGACCCCTTTGTCTCTGGCGATGCTCCCGTTAATCCAGGAAGGTCCCGCAGCCCGCCCGTGCTACCTCACACGCACGCCGTTCTGTCAATCTGGGCTGGGGAAGTGTAGTCAGAAATAAAGCTGG